TTTTTACTGCTGTGGAAATAATTCTCTGTGTTTACTATTAGTGAAATACAAATACTACTAAATAAGAGTTTAAAACTATTAAGCATGAAAAAACCAAAATATACTAAGATTTCTTAGAATTAAAAAAGCATAGAAGTGTTGAGTCTGTGTACTCTTTGAAGAAGCTCAATTGCCATAATCTTCACCTTTTGATTTCCTCTTACATAGTTCAAAGAACATGACTCAAATACTCCAAACTGCCACTTATCATAAAACTAATTGAGCTACAGTAATGGCAGTTTAGATGCATTTTATTACTGTCTTTTAGACATCTTTTTCAAGAGCTGTTACAGCTCAATACAGAGGAAAGAAACAGAGTTTAGAGGAAGTATAACAGCTACAGCAGTTTATAAAAAGGAGACTGACCAACCCTTTAAGCAGTGGTCATGTTGATATAGCTCCACAACAGATAGAGCTCTAGCTCCTACTAAGTGGCATCTTAGGTTTTCTGTCTTTTCTGTATCCCCATCAAATAACTTAAAAAAAAAGACTACGTACCTTACTTTTGTAAAACTACTCTGATAGCATTTAGAATTGTTCTAGCAGCAATAAAACAAACAGCTGATCAGAAAGGTGATAGAAGGAAAAAATATCATCCTTAAAGTATTGCTTGAGATTTAAAATTTTTATTGAGAGCTAGAACTGCAGAGGTTGTGTCAAAAATTTGACTATGGGGAAGTTTTACCTTATAGTGAGAGTGGAGCAAAAATGCATACTTCATCTATTCCCCTAGAGATGAGATTATTGTCAGGACTGTCTGCAGGATACAGCAAAAATGAGCGTATGTCAAGGACCTGATTATGGTTGCATTACCCTCTGAGCATGTCTGCATCAGCTTGAGCCACAGTGCTATTTAAAACTGAGCAGTATTTTCTCCTGGCTGACTGCAGTCCCTAAGAGAACATCCATCAGCCAAGCAGAAGTGACTCGTGCAACACCCCAGCCTCACACTTGATACAGTCAACCTCAGGGATGACTTGTGAGAGAACTGTCACAGACATCCTGAAACTAAGCAAATGGTACCTTGCTGGAGTTTCCCCACTGTGCCACCCACCTCGTTTTGGCTTTTGTTGTGCAGCTGATGTGAAAAAAACCAACAACTCTCCAAGTCTTTTGCTCTGCGAGTTTTCAAACCATACTGTTAAAGAGAGCTAATGGAATTAGCTAAATCCCATCTTGGTTTAAAAATGCCTTGGAAATAAAATCTGAAAGAGTGCACCAAATCAGAGGTGCTCAAGGCAAGCAACTTAGCAGGAGCAACTGGACTCCTATATATGTATCTCACAAGTAACTAGAAATTAATGTGTCTTTATGGAAGCAGTTCAATTAAGGTTTGAGTTGCAGAAGAAGTGTTTTTAAGGCTCATGCACAAGACGAGCCTTCAAAGTGCTGTTTGAATTGAACTCATCTGCTCAGCTGGAAAACATCAACTTGGAAGTGCAGTTCCAGTGTGTATTGCATTAACACACAAATTTAATTTAAAGGAATAAGCTCTTTGCTGACTTCAGTATGTAAAATCTGCAAATTGCTCAGTCTAAACTGCTATGATAAAAATAGCAAAAAAAAATGTTCTAGAAATTGTTTCTATTCTATGCTAACTTTGAGTCTATGTGACTTGTGAATAAGTGTTAAAACTTGAGAAAGCACATTATTATTTTTAAGAAAAACATTTTAAAGGATTGAAAAATCAAATTTCTGTTGTCTGTGGTTTATCCCTGTTATTAAAATTATGTAGAGCCCAAGTTCATATAAGCCTTAAGGTGCTTTTAGTGGAAAGGCTGAAGTCCAATCAGAAGTTTAGTCAGGGGCCTGCTTCTAAATCACCTCTGGCTGAGGGAAAGACCAATATAGAGTCCAACCATACGCAACATCGTAATGGTGCTAAAAGTGTCATATTTTGTTTTATTTAAATTTGCATCTAGTCATTTGGGGAAACTGGACATGGTGTGCCATCTTCTCCTCCTGTGCCCCAGGAAGAGGCCCGTGAGGAGTGGGTGGCTGATATAGGCTGGGGAACTGTTCTCAATCTAAAGGCTCGTTGCCCAGGCCTGTGAGTTCTATCTACATATTTTTGGGTATTTTTTATTTGTAAATTATTCGTGAATTACGTTTTGTAAACAAACTAAGTTTTGTATTTACATGTAGGGTTTTCAGAACATGACATCACACAAGGAAATACTCACAAATCACAGAACTTCAGAATTTCCATGGCGATTCATCCTCACTATCTAGCAACTTCAGAACCCTACCTAGAGCTCTAAGGTTGCCCCGCATCTTTCGCAGCAAAGTGTGATCTGCACGGGGCCTGGTCCGGCGGGTGCCCTGGCCCCAAGTGCTGCCCCCCGGTCACTGCCAGGCACTACCACTGCCCCCTGACAAACCGGCAGCCTGGGGATGTGTTCTAAACACTAAGAACCCCACAGTTAAGCGCTTGAACTGAGGACTGTCAGTTTTGAAAGGGTGTAGTTTCTCCTGCAAACAGATGTGACTGAACAAACCCCCTCCAAACAATCTTACTAAACATTTTTTTAAGTTTTCAGCAGATTGAGGCAAGGCTGTAAAGCTTTAGAAAACAACAGCTTGTAGAGAATGCAGGTTTGAATAAATATAAAGGATTTATGTGCAAATCGGATCAAGATGGAAACTGAAGCACTAAAAGCTGAAATGAGAATTACTGATAAATGATGTAGATGTCACAAGAACACAGAGACGTTTGTCAGGAATATGGTATACACTGGAACTCTGTTTCAATCAGCCATTCTCTTACCTGACCCCAGACACCTTTGTGATGTTTTGGTTCACCTTGCCCAACCAGGTAATACATTGTCCTGAAATACCTTCTAGTAGCAAGGTCAAATATGCACTCAAAATTGAGTAAATTGAAGAGAAACAGCCTCTTCAGACTCTCTTCTTCAAAAAAATATTTCAGGCATCAAATACTGGAGGTAGAATTACTGTACCTATTCAGCTGAAAACAAAGCCAGGTAACAGCCAAGACTCCATCTTACTCCTGCCAGAGGCCAGGAGGCATCAAGGTATCAGGAGAGTCCAGTGCTGTGGATTACAGACATATCTGCAGGGTAGCACAATAGAACATTATGGGTTTGGGTTTCCAGGCTGTTCTTGGGGGGTTTTGGGAAGGGTGTACAGGTGGATTTTTTGTTTGTGGTTGGTTAGCTGGTTTAAGATTCCTCATCTGAACTATAGTTGGCTTCAGGGGTTAAGAGGAAAGACTGAGGACAGGGATATAATGTGAAATAAGTTTACAGAGTATGTTTTGTGCCAAAAATACCATCTCAATTTGCTACTAGGATTAGAAAAGAAAATTTGTTACAGTGCGTGTACTATGAATGCAAACCAAATGCTCAACCAATTTCCCTTCCCCCAAAATGTGAGCAAGGTGTGATTCGAAAAGCAAACCTGAAAAATGAAAATAATGCAGACTGATTCTTTCTTCAGGTCTTTATAGTGTATTTGCTAAATTTCATGGATGATGCATCATCTCTTATGAGGATCATACTATTCAGCAGTAGTTTTAAGTGGAATGGAGAAAGAAACCTAGTGAAAAGCCTCAAAATTTATGGTGGAAAAAAACCAAAGAGAAGCAGCATAGGACGGAAACAGCCCTGTTTCCAACAATGTCCATAACTTTCTCGTCAGATGAAGCAAGAGGCATTTATCAAGTAAACAAGGATATACAAAATTTAATATATTAAAAGGCATTTATGATTATTAATTTTATTCTCATCACAGGTTCCCAAGACAGAGCTGAAACAAAGTAAGTTTAATCTATCTTTAAGAATTGGATGTAATTAAAAAAAAAAATAACACTTTCCAGTGGGCAAAATTTTAATCACCATAAAACATTTATACAAAAATCATGTACATATTTTCATAGTTCTAAATAAGATATATATGTATACTTGATTTTACTTTGTGGCAAAATAACATTCTGACAGTTTTAGATTGTGCCTGGCTGTAGCTGAAAAAAAAATGAATAAAAAAGTTTTCAAGTAGGGCAGCTCAAAGTTTGACAGTTCATTAGATTTGTAAGAAGAGACTTACTGTATTGGTAAGCCAATAAAGGTGTTCCAGAGATGAAGACTGCAAAAGAGCAGCATACCTAATGTCTGTGCTGTATAGAACTACTTTGACAGGAGGAAAACAGAAACACAGGTTAGGAGAAACCTGTTTTTTCTTTCAGGGAGACGGAAATAAAGCTACAAAACATGAGACAAAAGATGAGAAGTATTACACAGCACTTGTGCCTGCAATATTTCATTTTCCCCTGTGGCTGCTGGAGCCATGAACATGACACTAAGAATTTAAAGACAACCTGGAAAAAACCCATTCCTTTCAATTCAACAGTTTACTTACTATATTATCATTGACCAGAAAAGAGCTAAACGCTTGTGATTTTGGGAAGGGGTTGAGGAAGAGGAAAAAATATTTGAAAAAAGTGTTCTACCTCCAAATTCATTTCACAGTCTCAAAAAATCCCAGATATTTCATTGATGACTGCAGTACCAGTTCTCCCTAATTTAGAAATGCCACTAAGATATTTCAGATTACACTGGTTCAAAAGTGACAGTAGCCTTCAACTTTAAAACACAGTTTTTTTAAAATTAAGACAAAAGTTAAAATACTGAAATTGGGCCACTAGATTAAGATGCTATTAAAATACAACGATGAGGGTCAATAAAAATGAAGTAATGTCTTTATGTAAAGAGAGGCTATTTTAAGTAGGTAAGTGAATAGCTATATATGTGGGTACTTCCACAACACAGTAATGCTTCAATTGCTCATCCACACCAGCCAACGGCTGATATGACAGAAACTCTGTTTGGTATTATAGGTCTAAGTTTTGTATCAGGACATCTACAAATATTCCTTTCTATATTTATTTTGGAATTTGAGAGATTACAGGTTTGGAGGTTGTTTTATTTTGTTTGTTGTTTGTTTTTTTTATTTTGAGCATGTAATACTTAATGAACACATACACAAGTACACACACAAGAGAAGTGTATCTCAGTTTTAAAAGGCATGTTCCTCCTCTTTTTCATACTATCAACATTCTTTTTTGAAGTCTTGCTTCTCCTGCCCCATATTACATTCTCTGCTACAATTTGCTATTCAGCTGTGCAGACTTCAAACACTGGTATGTAGTACAGCATTAATGAATTTCCTGAGTCAGGTTTATTCATCATTATCTGTAAAAAGGAGAGGGGGAGACAGGGTGAAAAGGAGCAAACACACACCACATCAAGCTGGGGTTACAAAACAACTAGAAACTGCACTTTAGTAAGCAACAGGACAATAATTCACTAAGTCATTCACCAATGAGGTGACTGTTACCAAAACTGCCTTGAAAGCACCATGTGTACAAACAATGAACAACACATCATCTTTCCTGGATTACTGAATTTATTTTCAACTCGAGAGGCCTGCTTCAGATAGAACAGTCCTCTTAGTAAAGTGCAGTATAGATTTTTTTCTAGCTTTTCTTGTTTGAAGAGTATGTATCTTTTGAGACAGAAGCTCATTAACTTGCTTCTGACTGTCATTTGTCCTCTATTTACCTTTATTAGCATAGAATTTTTTCTTTAAATGTCTGAAATTTGAAGAACTACTTTAAATGTAGTTCTTTATGTACTTAAGTGTCTAAACTGTAAAGAACTACTTTTTGTTCACATTTTTGAAGTCTATCACAGATTTGAAAAATATGGAATTAGAACTGAAGTTATTAAAAATAGCTACTTGTTAAACAGCATTTTGCAAGATCAAAGTTGGCTCATTTTGATGGGATTGACTCATACAACAGTTTGCAATGTATATGCCAACATTTCAGCAAATTGTCATGTAGGCATTTTTGTACTAGGTTTAAAATATGCTTAAGACTAAGTGGCAAGGAAAAGAAAATGGTAACACTACAGTTTCCATTTTCTTCTTGTTCTATATTGCCAGTCCTTTGGATACTTGAAAAATGAACTACTACAATGTATCTTTCAAATTCTGTTATTAAATCAATAAACTGTGGTTGAAAAAATATTTTTAAGATACTTTTCTGTCATATTTTTTTAAGCAACGTGAAAACATGGTACTGGTTGTTCTTACTGAGTAGGTCAGATACTTTTCTGTCATATTTTTTTAAGCAATGTGAAAACAACATGGTACTGGTTGTTCTTACTGAGTAGGTCTGCATCAGTAGCAAGTAAGAACTGATAAAACCTATTTGTATTAGAAATTAACTTTTTTAGTGATTATATTTTTAAAACTAGTTTTTAAAATGTTTTTCCTTCCAAGCCTTCATGTAAAAAAATCACAGAAAGCCATATCTTATCTGACCCTCTACTCACTGCTATTGCAACACATTTGTAAATGAATTTAAAAGATGCAGAAAGTAGATGTTTATTAACATGCATTAGAATATTTTTTTCAAAATCGGAATACATTAAATAGTGATTGTTGTACATATTTCTAAAAGCAATATGTAATGCTTCTGATTTTATACCAATTTTAGATTTTTTTTTTCCTCTCTGGTAAAGTCTTTCATCATTAGAAATCTAAAATTACATAACTGCAGCTAAATTTTTTACATGATTGGTAGTGGTCTGTGTGGTGTTTTGTGTCGTAGAGTGACACTTAAATACCAAGGAACTATCAGTCTCTGCCTAGTCATCTGTGCTAAGCTAGGCAGGGCTCTCAAACAAGGTAAATTATTTTCATGTATTACTGAGTCACTTAAAAACTAAGATGGATGGAACCCCCACATCAAGTTCTTCTGAAAAATTACAATGACAGGATAAAGAGCCACATTTTCAGACAAGTAGAACTTATCTGAAAACTATTACTTTAGCTAAAAATTCATTAATTCTTAAGATAAAACTGTTTTTTCTTCTTAAAGCTTTATTCTAGACTTCCATATTCCCACTCTATGTGTTTTACAGAAATTAAATAATAATACTGCACCTTTCATAAGAGAACTATTGTTACAGTTGACTGTGCACATACTATTCAACCAGAGTGGTCAGCATGCCTAATCCAAGTTTGCCACATTTTGTTGCAGGAATAAAAAATGCCCCTTGTTGAAAAGTGAAAAAAGTATTTTTTCAGTATAGCAAATAAATATCACAAAGCACAGATATGTTTAAAAAATATATTAGAACCTATTGTATATGACTGAAAAGGAATATAAGAAAAGCCATCATTGCTGGACAGAGTAAGATTACCTTCCTGGTAGGCTCCGTCTGCCATCACCAGGTGAAGTATTTTGGCATACAGGTGTTTGTGTTCATTTCCAAGAATAGTCTGAACTATGGTGGAACAAATATCAATGTTTTCATCTTCATCTTCGTGGATAGCCTAGGAGAAAGGAAAACCCATGTTGCCCAAGTTAAAATGGTTACAGAATTAAATAGTTCCAATTAACTAGTGCAATTCATGGTTAAACATCAAGTTTTCCACTTTAATACACTGTTAATATTCTCTATTAATATTTTAGTATGTAGAAACAGAATAAAAGTCTCAGTATTGATTCTAGTCACACAGTGCAATTAGCTACTTGTACAGTAAACAGCCCTAGGTACATGTTTCTTAAAATATTTTCCACAAACCTTTATTTTCTCATAAACTTCAATGAATTTATCAAAGCCTATTTCCTGCTCCAGGTTATATCTCAGCTCCTCCAAATGGCTGAAGATACTGTCACATTCTTCACACTCACTGGCAATCTCTCCATCACTATTATCTGTAAAGAAAAAAATGAGTAAAACCCCCTCAGTTTTCCTACATTCTTCATGTTGTTTCTATGTCCATAGATTTGATATCCACACAGACCTCAAAATGTCAAGAAAGCAGGTATGCTCTGATGCACTAATCCATGTTGGCAGATGGTCTGAACAACCTGCAAGGAAACAGGAAAAGTCCCTTTCTTGACAGCAAAGACATTCTAAATCCCAAATGGGAAACATGTAGCTACTCCTCTAAAACCTCACTCTGATAGTTATCCATAGGGTTATTCATACCAAAAGAAAACAAGGTATGGTCTTAAAGCAGTCCTTTTTTTTTTTTTTAGCAAAGCAATGTTAGCAGGTCGAGTTCCATATAACCATGTTAGTAGGTCATGTTCCATATAACTATTCCACTTATTTCTGAGAAGGAAGTGATGCAGGGTGCAGTGGCTGTCCCACAGTAGGGAAAAGAGCTCTTAAATGAAGCAGCTGTCTTTTAGCAGAAAACAAAGACATGTCTGTTAAGAATCAGTGATTTAATTTCTACACCGAGATGCATCTTGTTCCATGGAGCAAGTCTAAAAAATCCTGTACTAACTTAGCCGCCAAGTTCCTCCTTCTCTGATGTGTGCATCTTCTTTGTCTAGGAAATTCAGTATGCCAATTGGTACAATATGATATGCAAAAGAAATAATGATAATTTTGCTTACAGGTGACAGATATGTTACAAACAGGTCTGTAACAGTTAAACACTTTTAATTTTAACAAAAAAGGGTTCTATTTAAAAATACAAAATAAAATCCCTATGTCCCATTACCCTAGAATAAAACACAAAGCTTTTGCCCAAGAAAAATACTTACTTAAAAAAGTATTTGAATTATGAAAGGGCTTGTTTGCCCAGGAAAAAATATACAATTTTTGGATTTCAGCAGACAGTGTTATAAAATCTTAAAAACCCCCCCCACATAGTACTGCCTCATAGGTCACAAACTTTGTGAGTTAACCTTAAAACTCTATTACTTTCAACTCCTATGTATAACTAGTAGTGTAAGCTATAATCCTCATGAAATAATATCCCTGATACGATAGTGTAAACAGTCACATCAATAAGAAACTACCACTGAAAAAAAAGAAAAAAAAGTTGTATCTGGTTTAAAAATTCATTAGATGAATTCTAATCCCATATTTAACTTCTGAATCTTGAACAGATTTGGTTTCAAGTCCTGTCCCTGTGAGTTCTGAAGGCCTTCCTCCTGCCCCCAACAATGAAACCTGCAATTCTTATGATATGTCATTAATCTACAGGGTGGGACACTGAGGCCAACTACCCTAACACCTGCAACAACAAGAGAATCAGAGAAACAGACAATACTGAATGCTATCAGTGTATAACATCAGCACTGTCAAAAAATGAATGAAAATGGCGTTGTCTAAGTTTATTTTACCTTAGAATACTTACTGGAATGTATCACGAAGATAACATCTTACAGGTATATTCATGTTTAAAATTGTCTTAAACAAATAAAAATTACACAAAAAGCTATGTTTTAGATTATTGATTTTCTGCATCTTTTTATACCTGTATTTCTAAATGCACTTCATTTTACAGCAGTAGTAAAATACTTTATTTCAACCAGAATTAAAAAAACCAAAACAGACCTAAGACACCACTGTGTATAGCTAATACAAAATGCTAAAATCCGTAATACATTTTTCTGTCTCATTTTTAGTTTGACTGCATTAATAGCTACGTTGGACTAAGGACAAGGTTGATAATTTCATGTTGCTTTTGACTGCCAGTTAAATTACTTAATTGTAGTGTAAGCTGGATCTCAGATACTCCAGTCATGTCAATTGCTATTTTTCACTCTCACACTGTAGTCATTAATTATTCAAAATATATGATATGCACAGAGTCTTCAATCTTCCTTTAAGATAAGTTTTAGGCAACTAGAGAAAAAGTGACATATAACCACTGCCTAACAATATGGTTGCTTAGATGTTGACCTTAACATTCAGGAAGTTTAAATATTATCTGATGTTTTTAAACTTCTGTATAACATCAAAAAATAACTTATAAAACAGGTATAATAGAAATCATACCTGACTGCCATTCTTCATTAAGTGCACTTTCACTGCTAGGGTTATTTTCATCTCCTTCATCCAGCTCTGTACCGTTTGTTATGCATTTGATGACATTAGCCTTTAAAGTAGATGACTCCTCTTCACTGAATTCCTCACTAGGCTGCTCCCTAAGCAATTGTTCCATTGAGGCCCGTAGTTCCTGCAAATCTGTATCTGCCTCTGCAAACATACTAGAAAAAAAGAGATACAAATTTTATATAATTCTTTACCAGACAAATGCTGTAGGAAGAGCTTATTTATTTTGTTAAGCCAACAAACTGGAAAGCCAATGTAACTGAAGGAACAAAAAAATACCCCTGATTATATTATCATGCAAGGCACAGCAAATAAAGATCAGCTAAACAGGTACCAGACTTTTTCATAAAAAGTTGATGACAGGCCCTCAATTCAACTTTGTTAGTAAGATAATTTAAAAAATCTTAGTATTCATGCACTACTATAGAGCCCTGGCAAATACAATACTCCCAATCAAGGTAAAAATGTGTCTGGAACAGAGAGATCTAGATGTCATCAGAATAGATACACCAGATTATGTTACACCTCCACACTACCCAAGCGGCAAGGCATCAGAGCCAGGGTCAGATTTTGAAGCCCCTGAAAGAATTTGTGAGACTTGAAGGACATCTCAATACAACAGTAGGGAAGATAGATGGCAAGACTCCCAGAACATACAAAGAAAGGAAATACTACAGAAGTCTTTATTTCTAGAAGAGCTTTGATCTGCTTCAGCAGAATGCATGGTGCAGAAGCCAGACAGAGTAACAGCTTGGATGGGATTTGGAGAGGAAATTCAGACAGCTATTTAAAGCAATATTAGCTTCTCAATTCTCTGGAACAAGATTCAAAGTAAATGCTGAATCAATACAGGATTTTTAAAATGTGGGTAAAAAATGCATGCTCATATGCTGTGTGTAATTGTTTGTGTCTAACTAAAAAAACCCTTGCTCTAAGGTTCCTGTTGAAATACTTGATAAACTTGATATACTCACATATCCTCAGAATCAGAGGGTCCTTCTTTGGCTTGCTCATCTTCTGTATCATCTGTTTCTAGATTATGCTGATGCTGTACATCTGCTACACTGGGAACATCAACTAAAGTTCTGTACAGTTTGTAAAGATCTGGGAGTGAACATGTTCTCAGCATCTGCAAAGGTAACAGAAAACCTGTTTGGCAATAATCCCCAAGACAGTCAGAGGCTACAAAATACTTTAAATCAATTTCAAATTAATGATGTGTCCAGCACAGATACTCAATTGCTGAACAACCTAACATCTTGAATTTTGCCTCTCAACTAAAAAGAAAGCATTGCTTCTGCCTTTGTGGGTTACAGTGACTGAAAGCTTTAAGAACAGCAGCTGACATACAAAGCCTTGGTTTGTGCCTATTTGTTCTATACCTTTGACAGCTATCTAAAGAAAAGAAACACTGCAGCAGATAAATAATATATATATGCAATTGTTTACAATGTGTGTATGTCAATGACTTACAGCTTAGAACCATTTTAAGTAGCTGACAAAGGAGTATTTTTGAAAAAGGCATTTTATTATATCTCTAGGTTGGTCACTGAAAACAGTAACTTCTATTCATGTTTGTTCAGTGTTTGCTCCTGATGAACCCCCCTAAATTTTAATGAACTAAATAGTTCCTCAGCTGTAATGTATACCAGGCCAGTGTATTCATACATATGCTTAAACATCACACCTCTGACAGCACATGGCCAGAATATTATTGACATCAAAGGAGTAACCACTCTTTTGGACCACTACCACCAAAGTGAAGGAACAATCAGAAGATTCATTTTACCCCATCATTTGAAAATTTCAAGGTATTTTGAAAAATGCTACTTTTCCTATTAGGCTACTCCTGTTAGTACACAGATCTGCCTACAGATAAGACACTGACTCTGTCTGCCCGGCTCCTTGTTAAAGGTTTCCTTAGTTTCTGGTAAGATCTGCAGCAGAGGTGTATTCAGGAAATTTCAGAAAGTTATGTTTGTAGATACTGCAAGGAAATACTGAACATCCTCTTGGTGCAACCAGATGAGGAAAGCGAATTTGTTGCTCTCTTACATCAAGTCTACTGCAGTAGTAACACCACCACCACATCTGTTGCTTTCTTCCAAGTTCTCTGCTATTACACAGAGCTCATCTGGTACTGCATTAACAATTGTGGCCAAAACGCATGCCAAATATGCAGTCCTCAGTAACATACTGAAGTGATTCATACTGATCCACTAAAGAAATTAATAATAAAGCATATTCCATTACTTCACAATCTGGTAAGGGTACAAAGAATGATCATCTTGCCCCTACTCACAGTTAGTTTTTCTATAATCATTGTCCAACTGCCAGATAAACAGCTTCATAAACTATGGAAGTTAATAATAGACATATCTCTTGAGGAATCAAAATTAGAGTAGTAAATCCATTTATGTGAATATATGGATCTGTGAACCCAAATGCAAGCTTGTCAAGAAGCTTTATTTTCCCACAGATTCAAGTGGCACTATCCCTGATATTACGATTCCTAGCAATGTAAAGACCAATAGATAGCTTTTAGCATTCAAGTATCATCAATAGTGCACCTCTTTTCATGCAGTCACAAAAAAGGGCTGGGAGTCAAAATAAGAAACATTCTTCCTCATCTGGCATTCCACCACCTAGGAAATCCTTTACTACATATTGACTGAACGCAATGCAGGTCTGCACGTTTCCAGAGAACCCTTGCCACCACTGTTTCTCCAAAAAGGAGCTGCTCTTTCATGCACTTTGCACTTCAGAACCTAGGCAAGTATTGCATATAATTTAAGAAGTCTGTTTCATCTACTAGTTCCATAACTATTCTTAAAACATTTTAAATTCACATCAAAACCATACTGCACCATCCTATGCTCATTTCACAGACTGTGAGCTGCTACTTAACCCTATGTTGCTGGTCAGGAAAGGCCTTCAGGAAAGGAGTTAGCTCCATTCACTCTTCTTCAGTCTTCCTGCTTCACAGCCAGAACCTGTGCTAGCTAGATAAATCTTACAGGAAAAATCTCAATCACTTGGTTGCCAGAAATGACAAGATATCTTTGTTGATCTGTTACGTGTTTGTGTTTATGGTGACTAAGTAGCAATATGCCTGAAAAACTGCACAAAAGGGAGAAAGCATATCCAAGAAGTTAGGAATTTCCTCATAAACTCCCACAGTTGTCTCAGAAAAGCAGTGGCATTCCTCCACAAACACCTGGACACAGGCTACTGAATGGTGGAACCAGAGACTTACTGCTGCCCAAGTCCTGCTGATACCACAGACACAGCACAGTAATACAGCAGGGCAGACATGGCTAGACAAATATGAACACCTGCTGAAACAGTTATGCCATCTGTTACGGCCTCATTCAGCCTCAAAAGGAAAATAAAAATATTACTGTAGGAAAACAAGTATTGTTTTTTAAACTTGCCTTTGGGTCGTTTGCATCAAAAAGCCCTGTAGAAAGTCCAATCAGCAGTGAACTTTTGCCTTTATTTTTTGCTGGTGATATGGAACGTGAACAAGGTACAAAAGGCTCTTCCTGTGAAGACTGAGCTGACAGAACTGGTGAGGCTGTTGGTACAACCGTGGGCTGTGTTACCCTCTGGAATAAGGGTTCAGGTTGCAGAGAGTCACCGGAACAAGTTTCTGATACATTAAAAAAAGTTCAGTTACAAAGCTAAATAGATTAAAAATACCAAGCTCTTATGCAGAAAGTAATTAAAATGAATAAAACAAACTCATATCTGTTGTACAATTAAAGGCAAAAATAGATACCACTGTAGAAGTATTAAAGTATCTTTGGATTATTTTAGTAAATATGTGAAATTCTCCCATTTAAACTTTTTGAGAATATAGCTGTAGTCTGTTCTGTTCTTATGCCTTCTAGTTTCTTCTTAGCCAGTACATGCCTGAAATCATAGTGTCATCCATTGGCATCTGTTGCTTCTTGCCTAACATTAGGTTTCTTCAAAGATACCTCAACATAATTCACCCAAACACTGGAAAATAAAACCCATTTTTTTAAAACATCCATAAACAGATGGAACAGTATCACCAATGATACTTGACAGTATTGATGTATTTTCTATTCTACTGTAAAATACACAGACCTTCTGAAGTTAATTCAAAGACCTTCAAGAGCAAGCAATTTTTCCATGCAATAAAGACAAGATTACCATTAACAGTAAGTTTATAATTATTTTTTTATCCAACCTGCAGCTCAATGTTAATTTGAGATGTCTAGAAAGAAACACTTTAATCAAGTAAAATAATCAGATTTCATACCATTTTAAATAGTAATTTTAGAGTTACAACATTCAGAAACTTGACATTCACTTTTAAGTATGAGTGTGGGCCACTACCCTGCTCTATACATCATGTAATTTTGTTGTTACATGTTTTCTTCCAAACTGGCAAATGAAACACCAAAATTTTGTATTCCTAATCCATCAGATATTTGCTTTTTAGAAGTACGAATTAAAAAACAAAATGGAAAGCCTGCTATTTTGGGGTTAGTGAAGAAATGAGAAGTGATGGCTCAAGTACTCCAGCTACAATAAACAAAATGAGACTATAACTGACCTTCTGCAGGTTCCTTTTGCAGTTGCCCCTTGTCAAGCAGTAGTTTCTGAGAAGCTACTTCATTTCTGCTGTCATGTTGTGCCCTATTATAAAATACCACATCAGGGGAAACAACACATAAAACCAGTCATTAGTCTACTGAAAGAAGTCACCAAGTGCAGTAAAACAAACATGGCAGACAAGTAATGAATCTTCAGCTAAGCTGAACATTGTAACTGATATATCTAAATCCTCCTCAGTTAAAGCTAGTTGTTTGAACTGGAGAGACAGGGATAAGAAGAATAAGAATACTTACTTATCCTCTTTCTCTTTTACCCACACTTCATTAACAGTGATGGGAAATTCCTTACTCTCCTTATTCTGCTGCTTTGTATCTTCTATTTCTTCTAACACCTCTTCTTCTAAATCATCAAGCTCTAAAATTAATAAAGTCATATAACTCATAAAAATTAACCACAAACAAACAAAAAGGCAAGAGAGACTATACATATTAAGATTACACATAAATACTTTAGCTTGAATAATTTTCTGCACGAAAAGTATCTTAAAGCTCCAGCTAACTATATCTTCTAAAACCCCAGTAGCATTCCCCCAGATATCAGCAGGGTGCTGATATCATATAGGGCAAAATATTTCAGCACAACTGATGAGAAGAAAGAAACAAACAAAAAAAAAAACACCAACAAAAAAAATCGGAAGCCCTTTAAAATTTCACTCGTATTTTAGAGTTTTCTGTAAGCACACAGAAAAGGCTTCTGGAAATTCACAAAATAGTGAATCAAATTACAACACAAACGTAGAAAGCACCTGGGCCCATCTAAAAGGTGTTAGTAAAAACCAAACATTGCTTACAGGAACATATAAAAATACTGAGGACCCTAGCTTCCCTCACTGAATTGGAAAACAGATGGAAATTAGAATTTGATGAAAATTCTTACCATCTAGTGTAACAGGTTTGCTCTCCACCTGAGTAGGTCCAGCTTTCTGTGATTCTTCTGGTATAGTTGTGTCAGACTCTGTGACACTAACCAGTACTGAAGACTTAGCTCCAACAGTAGAAAAAGCTTTTTCTTCCTTCTCCTCTTTTACAGCTAAGGACCGATGATCTCCTTCAAGGAGCTCTGGAGTACCTAACACAAAATTATTCTACTATTTAAACAGTGCTTTGACACAGTTTGATAATAAACTACCATGTGGGTACACAGTAAACTGAGAATTTTTGTTTCTTTAAAGGAAAATAAAATAGAAAGGTTTGCATGCTTTAATTATAACTATTATGAAGATGAAAGCTATAAATACATAAATTAGAATGCCATATTATTTTTAGTACAAGTTTAAACTTGGAATAAACGTAAGTCCTTCTTGTCATTGGAATGGATCAAATCCAGGAGCTTGTGGAGAACAGCCCGCCTTCTCCCCACACTAAAGACTAAACAAACTCCACTATCAAGCACGTGGTGAGACAGGGTGAGTGTTTATTCCCCTGGGGCAACCTTGTAAAAGTGTACTTTACCCCATCCCAAGTAAAGGCCAAGTATTTTTGGTCCTCAGGGTCCATAGGGATTTGGAAGAACTTATCCTTTACATCAAGTGAGTCCAGCACTGGCTGTGCTGCCTCCTGAATTTCTAGCACCAGATCAGCAATGTTTGGTACAGCAGCTGTGAGTGCATCTGTATTGGCATTCAATTTTCTGTAATCGACTGTCATTCTCCATTTACCATTTAGTTTTCTTACAGGCCAGATTGGGGAGTTAAACAGAGAAAGACAGAGCACTTTGTTTGAAATCAGAAATTACTTCTTTAATGCCTTCTTTGGCAGCAATAGGAATGGAATAGTCGCACATTTGTCATCCTGCTTTGTGGCAGACAGGGAGCACACTGTAACAATCTAACCTTTAGTGTGGGTGTGCAAAATTCCAATAAGAGCCGTTTTCATCTCTCCATGCTCGGCCCGTAAAAACATCCATCCCTAATAAAACATAAGGAATGTCACCCACAATCATCTCAGTCCGAATTAATTTGTCTTCTCTTCGCAGTTTTAAAGAGATTTTAGCCGTTCTTTGGAAAGCAGAGTTACCAAATGCTTACCAAAATCACTTACAAATATTGGGGTTAGAGACAAATTAATGCCACGTTGCATGGCCACATCACCTTTTAGTGTGGAAATTTGTGCTCCTGTGTCTACCACAAATGTTACAGGATAATGTTTTGGCCTAACAGCACAGATAAGCTCCAAGTCCCCATTTTTATTTTTAACTAATCTTAGAGCACATTTGCCAGTCTTTTGAAGGATTGGGAATTTTAGGGCCTGACTGGTTATCATTTTTCTGCCAATCATTTTTATTTTCTGCATTGGAATCTTGTCCTTTCTCCTCCCCCTGCCGTCTTTTTTATTTGCTTTTTGATTTTTTTTTATTGGCAGAAGGAGGGCTCTTTAGTTTCCCAACTTGTTGGGTCTTTCCCTGGAATTAAGACCTTGAACTGGACCTTTTAGGCCATTTCTCTATTAGTGTTTTTAGGTGATGGTAGGTATAATTCTGAGACAAAAGCTCAGGTAGGATGCCTACTTCACTAATATGGAAAGTCACATGCTAAGAAGGATACAGTATCTATCTAATAAAATATTCAGTCAATGACAGACTTTTAAAAAACAGACTCATTTCTATCAATAAGCAAAGTCCAAGACTTTTCAGCAAAACGAAGACCCTTCCCTTTTAGCACATTCTTCTCGATTTCTTAGCAATTCACCGATTTCACTATATTTTCCTGTCTTCCAGTATCAGCTTGGGCTGAAATTTAGAACATTTAGGACTGAAGCAACACCCAAAAATTTAAAGAAAGTGAGGACAGAACATGCTTTTATAACTTCACAGTTCTCCACAGATGAACTGGCAATCTCTCACATCCTACACTTGCAGTGCAGATAATTGCCAGTGGTGCTCACCATTTATTTCATCTAGTTCTTCCAGTAAGTCTGTTTGCAGCTGCAACTCTGCTTCTCCTAAGATCTTCAGGACTGAATCAGTAGGGCTTTTGCCCCAAACTTTCCTGTGGGGTTCACTATTATCTAACCTAATTACTTCACCCAGAGTTTGACCTGCTGAGAGACAAACACAAATACAGGATTTTTTAGAAATTAGGAACTTTTATTCACTTTCTTTATAAAAAACAACTAACCAACCTCAACAAAACTAAAAACTACAAAGCCAGAGCTCATGTCACCTCACCCCAAGCCAGACAGCCTAAAAACTGTGCTCAGAAGTCTAGAGTTTTTGTTCTGCCAATTCTAATAACAGGAGTTACTCAATGCCAGTTAACATCTACAAGTCAATAGCAGCAGGAGATTTTCTCAGCAGTTCAAGCACTCCAAAAGAAGACAGTATGAGGAATGTTTAAAACTGGCACGAGATTGTCTTAACTTTACCAGAAATAAGAAACTAGAAAGTGTCTTGTCCTGATATTCTTTGGTGTTTTTTTTCTGTTATTTCTCCCTCAAAGGAAAACAGAGGACATAAAGCAACAAAGAAGAACAGAGCAAAAGAAGTTTCTCGATCTTCTAACATCCTAGTTGTGTAAAACTACTCTGCTATAAAGTAAGTCTGTCACATTCTCCATGATTATTTATTTCTACAATGTAAGACAGACCCTCAACAAGACAAACTGAAACCAGGGAAAAGGTCTTCTACCCAAATGAAATTCTGAGACAAAAGCTCAGGTAGGATGCCTACTTCACTAATATGGAAAGTCACATGCTAAGAAGGATACAGTATCTATCTAACAAAATATTCAGTCAATGACAGACTTTTAAAAAACAGACTCATTTCTATCAATAAGCAAAGTCCAAGACTTTTCAGCAAAACGAAGACCCTTCCCTTTTAGCACATTCTTCTCGATTTCTTAGCAATTCACCGATTTCACTATATTTTCCTGTCTTCCAGTATCAGCTTGGGCTGAAATTTAGAACATTTAGGACTGAAGCAACACCCAAAAATTTAAAGAAAGTGAGGACAGAACATGCTTTTATAACTTCACAGTTCTCCACAGATGAACTGGCAATCTCTCACATCCTACACTTGCAGTGCAGATAATTGCCAGTGGTGCTCACCATTTATTTCATCTAGTTCTTCCAGTAAGTCTGTTTGCAGCTGCAACTCTGCTTCTCCTAAGATCTTCAGGACTGAATCAGTAGGGCTTTTGCCCCAAACTTTCCTGTGGGGTTCACTATTATCTAACCTAATTACTTCACCCAGAGTTTGACCTGCTGAGAGACAAACACAAATACAGGATTTTTTAGAAATTAGGAACTTTTATTCACTTTCTTTATAAAAAACAACTAACCAACCTCAACAAAACTAAAAACTACAAAGCCAGAGCTCATGTCACCTCACCCCAAGCCAGACAGCCTAAAAACTGTGCTCAGAAGTCTAGAGTTTTTGTTCTGCCAATTCTAATAACAGGAGTTACTCAATGCCAGTTAACATCTACAAGTCAATAGCAGCAGGAGATTTTCTCAGCAGTTCAAGCACTCCAAAAGAAGACAGTATGAGGAATGTTTAAAACTGGCACGAGATTGTCTTAACTTTACCAGAAATAAGAAACTAGAAAGTGTCTTGTCCTGATATTCTTTGGTGGTTTTTTTCTGTTATTTCTCCCTCAAAGGAAAACAGAGGACATAAAGCAACAAAGAAGAACAGAGCAAAAGAAGTTTCTCGATCTTCTAACATCCTAGTTGTGTAAAACTACTCTGCTATAAAGTAAGTCTGTCACATTCTCCATGATTATTTATTTCTACAATGTAAGACAGACCCTCAACAAGACAAACTGAAACCAGGGAAAAGGTCTTCTACCCAAATGACCAGAGAAGGCAGACAGAAAACTTGAAAAGACAGGCTTGACTTAACAAAAAAGAAAAAAGCTAAGGGTGCAATAAAGGTTAACAGATGTAAACCAAGAAAACCCTCACTTTTAACTGTTCTACTGATAACATAAAAGGATTTTAAAAGGATTAAGAAACTTTCATATATCTTAAGTGCTTTTTATTCCTTCTGTTGAATTAGTGCCTATTTAAAAGACATGAAGAAAGCTCAAAGAAAGTAACCCTGCATTTAATTAGGTAACTATTTGTTGAAATTAGGAAATTATTTGCACCATCTCCTGCAGGCCACTTAATTACTCAGCCTGTGCCTTATTCCTTATCCAAGGGAATATGGAATGACCTGCTGTTTAGAAGCAGATGGCACGCTAACAAGATGACAGATAATAACCTGATAATAATGAAGAGTATTTGCTTTATAAAAACAGACACTACACATGGTAAAATGATTTACTAATATCATGGTGACAAAAAAAAACTTACCATCTGTTGTGGAGAGAGAATCTTCCATTGATAACTGAGCTAGAGGAACTACTAACTCAGATGCCCCAGATTCCCATTTTTTGCGATCTCCTAAAAGGGGATGGTCACCTTTTTGTTGCTCCTTACCATCTTCAGACCCAACTGACTCAGAGATATTTTTACACTCCTTTTTTCCTTTCTCATCTTCTTGTGCTTTAAGATTTTGATTTAATCTTCTCAGTATTTCTCGTTTATTCTGAAATAAGGGCGAATACATATCACTTAAAATGATACCTTTCTTAAAAGAAAAACTAAATGAAACGATACAATTTCACATACTTGCATTGCAAAATCTGTTTTTTTAATTTCTTCCTCAGTTTCCTGGATAGCAGTCACATGTTCATCCTTAAAGTCCAAGAAACATGAAAAACAACATAGAAGAATATGTCAGAAAAAAACCCCTTGATAATACTGATAGACATAAGAGTGAAAAATCACCTCTAAAATATTTTAATTGAAAACTGCAGAGATACAGAAACAGAACGTTTTTATGGGGCTTTCCAAAGACACAATTTCAAGGGCAGCTTCTGTCTTTGAACCATTCACTATCTGAAAGGAATGAGCACATGAATCAGGCTCAGTTTTAAGCAGACAAGTGAAAGTTCAGCCCACAAAACATGTAGAGATAAAGCTAAATATGGCCTCTACAGAAAAATGCCACCAAATTGCAATGCTAGAAATGAGTAATTCTGTAAGAGAACGAAAAAAATGGCAAAGACAAAGTCAAGGACCACCTGTAAATAAAAGGAGAAGCAAGAAGAGACAACTTTAGTTATCACAGCATATATAATGCCAGGTTGTTAAAGAGTAAGAAAATAGTTGTTCCTTGATATATGAAAGTGTATCAGAAAGCCTGCCCAGATTAAGCCAGTTTAGTCTAGGTAGGTGCAAAATTACAGTAAACTAAGGCAAATATTCCATTACGTGGTACATTTTTCAGGGAAACATTCTGCATTTTGTTCAGTCTGCCTCAATTATGAGAGCAATGAAGATGTCAATGATAGCACAAGACATACCAGGCTTCCAAAAGCAACCAATAACAACTTCATTTAGAAAGCAGATTTACTCTTCAAAATTGTGAAACAGTAAATACGTAAAATAAAACTAGAAGCTGAAGACAAAAGCAGAGAACTTAGAATCTTTGTGTACAAGGCTTGTCTTCTCCAATTGCTCTTTGTGCTAATTTTTAGTCAGTTATAATCACCATTTTGTATTACTGGGGGGAAAATTACCTATGTAGAAAAAATGTGTTAATGATTTGAATATCTGTCAAAATATTATTTGTTTACTTTTTCAGCTATCAACTCACATCTTTCAGTACATTATATTTTATAAACACTATGTAGCACTAAGCTTCACTATATTCCACAGTCTTTGCTTTAAGGGATCAGGAAAAAGTAATCAGGAAATCTTCAATACTCTCTTAGACAAGAAGAGAGAACACTTTCAGGTTCAAGTCTCTTAAATTCTTCTAAATTCTAAATAAGTTTATATTCTCTATTATAACCAGCACATATTTTTAATCTTACTCAAAACAAAAATTAATACAAAATAGCTCTATCATTCAAAATTTATTTTCTTACTTCCACCAGGTTACAAAATCCTTAACTCCCCTCCGCAAAAGTCTGATGAAAATGCTGGTTAGTCGAGGTCTTCTTCGACTAATCGTGACCAAATGATCAAAATTGAAATTACAGCCTAGGGTTCATCATAAATAATCCATTTTGTTGAAAACTGACTGAATTTGAATTTCTGTGCACAGATGTACTTGAACAGTTTCCAAAGTTTTTTTTATTTGTACTCTTTTTTGCCTTCCCTAATTAGAAGCAACAAGTATACTTCACTTTTTTTTCCTACCTAATCTACACATTTTGCAAAAAATTCTGTTTCAAATAAGTTGGGTTTTTTTCCTTAATTTTACCCTTTTGGAAGAAGTACCTACCACACCCACTTCCTTCAAAGCAGAAGTCATGGAAATGACTGGTGTACCAGGCTTCACAGGAAGTTGATGCTTAGGAAGATCTGCTCCAAGATCTTGTAGTCCATGCACAGGACTGTGCTCTGAAGCTCCCACGTGAAAAGGCACATTAGGATTCTTTACCCCTTTTGCTATCAGCTGTATAGAAAAATAAATAAAAGTAATAAAATTAGAACCATACAATTGTTTGGGCTGCAAAGGACCTTAAAGATCATTTAGTTCTAACACCTCTGCACAGGCCTGGACACCTTCGACATTGCTCCAAGCCCCATCCAAACTGGCCTTGAACACTTCCAGGGATGGGGCTTCCACAACTTCTCTGGACAACGTTCTTCAGTGTTTCACCACCCTCATAGGGAAGAATTCCTTCATAATATCTAATCTAATCTACACCTACCCTCTTTCAGTTTACAATTGTTACCTCTTGTTCTGTCACTACATGCCCATGTAAAAATTAACTTCAAGACTTTGCACATTAAGCACAATAGTTTGAAACAGGCTCATGTAAACCTTTAGAAAAGGACAATAATGCCACATATTTTCATACAACAGACAACTGAAGATGTAAATTATTTTGAATTTATCAGTTTCACAACACCCTGTTCTTTATAGTGGTATTTTACTAGTTGGACTTATTACTCCACAGCACACAGAAGCGCAAGAAGATTGGGTACATTTTGTTAAGTTACAGATCGTTAAGAAAATGCTTAAGGTAATCCTAATGATTCTTAAGTCTGATGTTCTTAAATTCTTGAACCAAATTTTTCATTCAAGTATACCTAGGATTAGGTTTCTCATGAGGGAATTCTGACTGATTGGTGCTCTCCTCTGTTTCAGAAGACAAATCATCTAAGCTTGAAAGATCACAGTATAAAGTTTTAATTTTGCAACGATATGGCACCACACACTTTAACTGCATGTAACAGATTAGTCTTCTTACATGTTCTTCCCAGGCTTTTTTCTCTCTTTCATATGCTTCCTTTCTCTTCCTCTCTAACTGTTCTTTCAGAACTGCAGCTCGAGCATTTACTTGGGCCTGTAGTAAACAAACAAGCAAAAAGACCAACTTAAAATTACAAAAGCCATTAGTATCCCAATCCATGGAACATTTTTTAAAAGACATTCTTGGATTACTTCATCTTGCTTTCTCTTACTTACTACTGTACAGATTGTGAAGGGAAGACTCCACTGACAATCAAAATCACTGATAACTGATCCTCTATGTTGACTTAATGACAACACCTCAAAATTTAATTACAGTTTTTTAAGTCTATGGTTGTATTTTAGTGTACATAGTAATCTTAAATAGAGTAATGTAAAATCAGAATCTCTACTTAAAATCAGTTTTGAAGCTAAATGCATTAATAATAAAATATAAAATATTCAGTTTAAACTTTACATACTTACTCAACATAAACACAAAAAGCTTCAGTTGCTGTTTGACCTCTAATTTTAAGCTTAGGCATACTGTCAGCTAGTTTTTACAGTGCTCTTTGCAGATGATGGGGGAAAAAAGTCACAGACTAGACAGAGTAATACTTGCTCTGTATCATGCAGTAGATACCAACATAAGAACACCACATGGAATAAAGTGCCAGTCAAACATTGGATTTCTATGAAACACATTTGGTTTCAATGTACTTCATCACAGGGGTATATACCTCAACTTTGAATCCACATGTAGTCCATGTCAGCACATGTAGAGAATTTTGCCCTCCTTTATTAACTAAAATAAAGTTGTTATTTAAGGTATAAATATCCATTCCCTTTCAGTATGAAAATGCTATCTTAGTTATACCAAATTGCCTTTAGGACTAAAGTTAACCTACAGAAAAATCTCAAAGGCAGGGACCACAAAAATCCTTGACATGCTATGCTATGTCACAACACATTTCAAAATTACTGAGATAAAACAGTTGAACAAAGTTGTTACCTCAATATAGTTAAAATAAAAGCCTCTTGTAGTGGACGTATGAACAAACTATTTATAGCAAAATGAAATGTACGAAACTTAATGAGACATGAAACAAATTTGAAAACAGCAAGTTCCATCTCCTCCTTCCCAACAGTTACCTTCTGGACTTCTATCTTTTTGCGTTTCAGTTCAGCTTCCTCGCTTGATTCTTGTCCATCAGAACTAGCAGCTTCGTTCTGAAAAATAAGAGTCCTCAGAGAATTGTAATAAATTAATGTATTTAAAAGAAAAGTGATGTAAGTGACTACTCAGATCACTTTGACTGTGTGACTAACACAGGTAATAATTTCACTAGGTAACTCCCAAGCAAATGTTATGTCTACTTGGACAGAACTCCATCCTAGAGATTTGTGGGAGGGGTTGTTTTTAAAAAGTACAAAGCTTTTACAAGCTAAGAAAAATATAACGTGCCTGCTGTTGCAAAGGAAGTGACCTAATGAGGCTGGGCTCTCACCTGCCACCTCTCATCACTGCTGCGTGCTCTGTCAGTAAGGTGTACTGGAGACAGGAAAGCTTCATTGGCACTCTTCACAGGCAAAGGAATGAATACATATATATTCATCTATTGTGTATAAAATATTATGCAGTAAGGAAACAAACATATCTGTGACAAGATTTGGTCTGAGATGGTATTCCTGTAAAAGTTAGCAATCACACTGAAGTTTGTGTCCACAGGACATCAAGAAATAAACCTCTTAAACTTGGGTCTCTGAATTCTGAAAATTAGTTTAGGTATACTTCATGGAAAGATACGCATCTATTCCCTATTCACTCGAAGGCAGCATACAACACTGCCCCAGGTAAGGTACAGCCACTGGCAGAGAAAGTTAGGTTCCTGATATGCCTAGTAATCCATACAGAGAATTTTGTCACAGTCACAGTAACAGCACTTTTGATTTTACAGCCTTGGCCTCCAACGCAAAGGTTTCTGGAGCGTACCTTTAGCTCTGCAGTCACCCATACTGCATGTAGGGTGCGGGTGCTCCTAATTTTCAGAGGAAGTCCTGCAGCTGCTCAATGAAAAAAATGAAAGAAACAGTGCGGTACAGCAATGACTATGTGCTCAACATTTTAGCACTGTCCTCAGTATTCTAAGGGTACTCAGGAGAAACAGTAAGACTTTATAGGGTTGTGTAGAGAGATGACTAGTGCCAGTGCAAGAGTTTTGAAGCTTGTCCAAAACCGCAGTTATGAGTGAAATTAGCACCAAATGAAATTAAGAGATTATGGGGTTATGATGCATCAGCTTAATGTTTTATGTGAGCCGGTGATAGTGTTAAAACTTCACTGATCAGCCTCTATGGTAACTTCACATATTCAGAAGACCTTGATTTTCCTCATGCTGCTCAAGACAAACTTTGAAGAATGGTCCACACTAGTTCCATGCCAGACTTAGTCACCAGCATATCTTATAAATAGTCTTCTTGGTAGAAACTATCTTGAATAGTCTTCTCAGGTAGAAGCACAGTAGTCTTTTGCTCACACATTTGAGATTTAAAGGGGCAAGGATTCCTCTTAAATGCACTAAAGAAGTTTTGCACCTCAAACAAGGGACTGAATTGGGACTCTCGTGTCTCACCAGGGAGATGAAATCAAGGTTAAAAATAAAAAAAAAACTATTCAAAAGAAGTCACTAACACAGGAAAAAAAATACAGCATTTAATTTAAAAAACACAACAGATCAGCAGCAATGTAGAACTTTTCAGCTGGGATGGTGGTCCAAAGAAACTGAGCAGTACTGGACGTGCTCTTGCCTTGTATGTCCACTTACTATACATGAGATGCACAAAAGCACTTAATATGGGTGCTTATGTGGAGGTACATTTATCTAATTTTCTATCACCAAGTACAATGTGAATGTATCATCAGGTAATCATTTGAGGATACCCAAACATGCTTAAAATAAATGGACAGGAACAGGAAGAACAGACAGGAGTACAAGTAACATGGTAGGTAAATGAAAAGATGGAAACAAACTCTAGACCATATTTACTACATAGATTGCCTCTTTTTAAAACAAGTAAATGGCTTGCTTCCAAAGGGATTATTCCTTTGACACCTTAAGAAGTGTTCATTCTGAATCTAGTTTATGAATATTCTTTTGGTTTTGTTGCTTTATGAACATATTTTGTAAAAGCAATGATTGAAAAAAAAGTGTACTGATTAAGTTGAACTCAAGCAGGCATTTCTGAATTTAATACACACCTACAGAATGTATGAAAACAATCACTTCATATGTATTCTCTGTGAGCATTGTCAAAAAGTTAATTCTGGAGAAGTTCCCACAACTAAAAGCAAATAAATATAGGCATGCAAGTGCTTGATGGGAAATTTACAAGTCAAATTCAGAGGTGATCTTATGTTTTTTAAACACTGTTAGGTTACAGGCACTGAAGCTCTACCCCTAGCACTGAAATAGCAGATTTTATATGTTGTGGAAGAAGAGATGGACTAAATCTCAATGCATAAAACTGCCTATGAGAAAAGTTTTCCTGCAGTGATAACACATTATACCCCATAGCCAGCTTCCAGAAGTATTTAAGATTATTTTTCAAACCAACCTTTTCTCCACGAAGTTTTGCTCTAATCTGTTGGCGTTCATTAAAATTCTGTAGCCGGATCTGTCTTAATCTTGCCAAATATTCCTAAGGCAAAGAAAGGAAATAAGTTTCAGTTACTGTCTCCAGTATGGTTAACTTAAAATATATAAGATTCCACAAAAAAATAAGATGGGTGAAGCCTCCCACACACACTATTACTATCACCATTTTTGCATTTACTTATCTCCAGAAAAATTCTCATCTAATGAAAAACTGGAACAGTTTTCTCAGTTTTAAGCAGTGTTTCTCAGTATTAAGCTATCATTACATTCTGTATCATTGAGGGATAGAAATGGTTATATTTATCAGTATAGGAATAAGATATACAGTCGTATCTATCTGTTTGCACGTTCAAGAACCCCTCTGAGACAAATTGATGCAGGCAACTATTATTTTGATTATTTAAAAAAAACAAACCAACAACAAACACAGCCAACATATAGAACTTCATAAAGTAAATAATTTCCTAGGAATTTATAAAGTCCTTTCTTTTTGTTACACAGATGAACCATGCAGGGAAACTAGGCACAGTCAAGGTCAGACCTGTGTGATGAGCAACGTGGCAAACATGCAGCAAGCATACCTCTTCCTCCTTGTTTCTGGATTTCCTTCCTCTTGCAGAAATGGGCCTGCCTCCATAGGTATCTGCTGCGTTTTGCAGTGTACCCTGTTTGCCATTTAATGGTATGAAATTTAAAGTGTCTAGGGCAGTAAAATTATCTGCTTAATCCAATAACTGTTCACATATAAGAAACGAAATCCATCAGTCATCTGCAGTTGTTCTGAAGTTAACCGATAACCCCTTTTCTCTTTCACAAAATATATGAGAGTAATAACTAAAAATTCTGTAGTCAAAGATAAAGATTGGAGCTTTGAGAATATAGTTGCCCTCTCCCTGTAATCATGCTTATCTTAGGTTAGAAAGCCTAAATTACCTACTGTGAAGTAGCACATCAGGCCAGCAGCTTAGAGATGACTGAATGTATCATCTCAACTACTGAGTCAAACATGACTCACTTGAAAATTTAAATTGCAAGTAATTTGACTTACAAGCCTTTATACAACAAAGAGCTGCATATTACTTGGTGATTCCTACTGATTTCTCCTCTCAAATCATCACAGTCTAGACAATAGTTCCATCCTTGCATGAGAACTACTGCCAGCTAGTCAAATTATTTTCCTGTATAAATAAAAGGAAGCTGCTGAGAACTTCTGCTGGCAATGGCAGCCAGTTAAGAATACATTTGGGGTCAGCTGAATACAGTCGAGAAACACTGACCTGAATACTTGGGTATCTTGCATTAATTATCCCATACATTTATATTATGGCCAACGAAGTCAAGAACAAAATGGGTAATACTAAGAACTTCTCTAAGAAGAGACAGTCATAACAAGAATTGTTACTTTTTTTCAACATTATTTACCAGTCTTTTAAAAAACAGAACCATGTTTTTTAAGAGGAAGACTCATGCTTTAAAACACATATATCAATCTCAGGATATTTCACTATCAAAGCATAGAATCTAAGTATGCAAGAATTGCTTACTACAAGTGAAATAATCCCTGCAAGAAAGATCAGGCTGCGGATCATGATCTGATACTCAGATATAACTCAGGAGATGCCTCTGTGAATCTGCAATTGGTCTTATCCCACTGCAATGCCAGCACTGCCAGTTTAATCGCAGAAGCCTACTGTGATACTGTGACTCAGTTGTATATGATTAGTATACATATATCATATAAATATATGAGAAGCACCCAAAAAGCCGAACTCTCCACATTAGAAAAACCTCTAGTCAAATCACACAAAGTCCTAGTGTAAATAAGTAACGTCCAAGATATCTTTACTGTAAACAAATTTCCTAAAGGAATGCTGCAATTTAGAACTGCAAACATGAAGAACAAAGAATATTTTATGACACTGTCCGCTAGTTAATCTCTAAAAAGCAAGGATTTTTGAAACATCAACCTTAACAGAGGTAGATGCCTTTAGAACACCTTCTCAAAAACTGGAATCTGTTTTTGTAAAACACACCACTGTATCTAATCATTAGCTGTATCAGCTTAACAAAACTTAATTTTAGGTTCAAGCTACTGAATAATACATGAAGTTTCATTTTTACCAAAACTTTAAAGCTCTGAACAGAAAAAAAGAGTAAATGAATGTTCTAGAACTTGTAATATCAAGTTAGACACATGCAAAAAAAGGTATTTTCCTTTGTTAGTAAACTTAAGACTCATGAGAAATGTATTGCACAATTCTGTTACATTCTAGTAAAATCAGTAACAAAATGCAAAAACTCACCTTCCATTCTCTTTTTAAAAAAATACCAAAGGAAAACATTTCATGGTTATAATGCTACTTTAAAGATTGAAAAAGCATGCTGAAACAGAAATATAGAAAGGAAGACCAGATTCCATACCATGTGTCCCTCAGCTCGAGCTTTGTTTTCCATGGCTTCTCTCTTTCGTTGCCAGAATTCTTCAACTTGCTTTGCTCTATCTGCAGATATCCATCCTTTTTGCCTGAGTAATTGCAACACATAGCAAGATAAAAGTCTCAAATATGACACTCATAAAAACCCACCCTGCATTTATTTATTCTAACCAGGACACACGCACACAGAAAAACATATCTTTCTATGAATAAGGCATCTTCAGAAAAATGCCTTTTATCAGCCAAAACACAAGTCAGACTTCTACAAAATGGAGGAAAACAGGCTCACCTAAGTTAGAAGAAAACAATTTTTAAAAACCCAAAAACAACACAAAAGAACCAAACAAAACACAATGTTGTACTTCCAGATCCTGGTCATCAAAACCAAAAATGAATGTCAAAACACAATCTTAATGAAATTTCTGAAAATATCTGAGTTTGTCTCATTATTGTTTTTGTTTGGGAAAAAGAAGACTCCTTCAAGGTTTCCCTTCAGAGATGTGCAAGAATTCACTGCATGAGCCAGTCAGCAAGGTCAACATTGCAGCAGTTTTTCAAGACTCACCCACGTTTGGAATAGGAGTTTCTACTACCTAGGTAATTAGTGCAGTGCTAGTAATTGTCTGAGTGTTCTGACAACTCCTTTTGGAAGATGGGCCTAGTAGGTTTGAGTTTGGTAGGGTGGCTGCTCATTTTTAAGTTCCACAGGGTCTTCTCAATCCTTTTGGGGGATCTTGAGGGATTTTTTTTTGTTTTTAAAGGGATCATACTATAATTAGCCAGAACAAGATGTTTTTTTCACCTATTCCACCCCAAGTCAGGGATCTGCTGAGGAAGACAAGAAGTACTGCAACTGCATCTGGCAATTCTCCTGGTACATACCTATGATAGTTTTGTAAAGGAACCAGTTTCTGACAAATAAGTTAGAAATGGACTCAAAGCTTTCTATTAAAAAAAAAACAACAAAAGCAAAACATACTGAGAAACAGTGTAAAGTATTCTAACAAATGGCAGAATGATGAGGCAAACCTCTTTCCGAAGTTCCTATAGCCACATTTGACTGAGTATTGAGAGTTCAGCAACAAGCAGGAAGAGGCAGTTAAAGAAAGAATCATTTTGCAATAGAGGACCTATTGCTAGTAATTGATAAATTAATTGGCATGCTATTGCACATTGTTTTTTTCCTCTCCTCTCACCCATGCCCCAAGCAACAAGGAAATAAAATCTTGCCATATGCTACAGTACATTAGGAGGAAGATGGAGATGAAACTACTTTGATGCAATAAAACAAACACTGTAGCTGCTATGAAAAGGCAGGATGATCTACCTAGGTGTTACTGGTAAAGAAACAAATGCTTGGTAATTTTTGTGTACATGTATTTAACTCTCTGCAAGATTTTTACTGTTAATTACACATGAACTCAATTGGTGTTGGAGAAAAGCTGCTTCCCCAAGCAAAAGAAAACACAAACCAAGACCAAAAAAAATGCAAGCCTATTTGTCCCAAACCAAATTTACAGGAAAAACTTGTCTCAACTGATTTTTAGGGAAATGTTTTTCCCTGCTCTAAGGCTAAGTGACACATTTGGCTAAAACATTTCAATTACATTTCTTCTGGGCAGCATGTCTGTCCAAGCAACAATTTTTCAAGTTTCTTGATGTCAAACATACTTAGCTTTACGTTAGTTATGGCATTGTTATCAGGAAGACTGCAAATTGAGGATTTCTCAACTTCTTTAATATGTGCTCTACATTATGTATCCTTAAGAAAGCTGCAATTATTTGATTTTTTTGTTTGAGCTAAACATCATCAACTTATCTTTACATTTCACCTCCAGCTGAAAATAAAGTGCTCAACTAGCTGTGATAATAAAATTCTTTCTAGATAAAGAAGTACAGATACCACAGTTTAAATGCTACGAAACAGTACCTCAATTTAGGGCTAAAGGCAGTTCAGTTTGTAAACAGAAAATAAATAAGTTTCTACCTGCTTTGAAACTTCTGCATAATGTTTTTTTTAAATGCTTCCAAGTTAATGTATTTGAGAAATACTGAATTACTTTCTCTTCACATTCCTCATAATTTGCAGCCCCCTACTACAGTTCCTCTAAATTTGAACACATTTATAACCATTTACCCAGGTGTAGGCAACTATCATTTAATATTGTCAAATGTGGGAGGCAGTGTTTCCTAACCTGGAAAAGATTTAGAGGCTGTGGTGGTTTGTGCAAAGCATTGAGAATCAACAGATGAGGATGGAAATTTGCACCTACATCAGCTAGGAAAATACACCTTCCAGTGCTGGATTGCACCAACCAGAAGGATGGGTTTTTTTAGCTCACAATAGCCAAACTCAGTATAAGGGAAATAAAATACACTTTGTAGCTTGCAGAATTGTAGTATCAGTGTTAAACACGATACGTTATTGCTGCAAATTCTGCAAGTCAGAATGAGATGACAGGAGAAGGAAGCATCTTGGCAGATAACAAAGAAAGTAGAACTATGAAAAAAACAAAGGTGGAGGCTTATAATATTATCTGCAACTGCATTAAGCCAAGAATTTTGGCTGAAATTTAATTTAGTTACAGTTGTCAGTAAACCACTTTTTCCACTATGAGGGAAGCCAAGTTTCCATTGGTTCTAAAAGAATTGTGGTCTGTGAGGGACTAACACGCAAACAGACAGCACAGTACCAATGGATAAAAGTGATTTTGAGAAATGTCCAACTACGAAATGAAACAAGACACAGAACAAGAATCTAACATGTAGGGACAGAGTTATGGATTATCATAGTCCAACCTGTTTGCACTGGCTTGTTTAGACACCTCCTTCAATCTTTTCATTTTTTTCCTAACTGCACCAGCATCAGGTAAATGGTGATGACCTGCAGGCCCCTTAGGAACTCCTGGACGTATTCCAGGTGGAATTCCTCTGTAGATAAATATGTACAGTAACTTTCATTACTTTCATCTAAAGCAGACTACAGCAACTTCTAATGGAAGGTAGCCATACCTTTCAGCAACTTCTCGGCCTTGTACTTTCATCCTCCATTTGGCTTCCCTCTCTTCAGCTACTCTAATGTTTTCCTTTTGCTGTTGCATCTGGTTAAAAATGGCATGATAGTGTTCATACTGTCCTCTGGAAGACACAGAAGGACCAACACCACCTCCACCACCGTAATACAGTGCCTGGAAATCAGAAGGGATAGAGTGGAAATCTCAAATACTGATTTTAACAAGCCTTTCCAATTTTCACCTCTTAAGCAAAATAAAAACATTAGTTTGCCCTGCAACAATTCTGAATTGGTCCTAGTTTTATTCCTGGCATGTCTCTATTTTAACAAACGACAAGATAGCTAAATTAACAACTTACGTTTTCTGTTAGCACTCTAAAATAACACAGTATTTTACTTCCCTCTGATAATAGTCTAGTTATACATGAGGTATCTGTTACACATTTTGGAAATTATTTGTAACAATTCCACTGAAGTGAACTGGAATAAGTGTTCTTTCTACATGCCAAACATCAAAGTTTCAGCACAAAAGCTAGCAGTGATGCAGTACTAACTGAAGTACTAGTGAGTGATTTGTAGCCAAACAGCAATTTTTTCATGAAGCTGAAAACAGTTAAACATACATTTAAGGTTGCTCTGTGGCATTAAGTGTAGATTTATCTGAGAATCCCCATTGCTACAAACCAATAGCTTGGCTTCATCACTAAAATGAGATGCATTCCTACTAAAGCTCAGATCAGAGGCACATCTACCACAAGCGACTGCTTTATGCAAGTTATCTCTGTTATTCTCAAAGAGTGAGAATCCTACAGAACCTTCACGTGGAAAAAGAAAAAGTTGCAAGCAGCTGTGGATAGCAGTAGCCAAGGATGGATGCAGAAAAATGTGAAACTGGCAAAACAAGGTTAAGGTTGTCAGCACATGCATTAAAATGTTCCATTTAAACCTGGTAAAAGCAATCAAGTAGCCCATAGTAATCAATCTATGGAATTGGTTTTAACAATAGTGTCCCTGTTCCTTCCAGAGTGGTCTTAAGTATTTAAAATACATTCAAATAGGTGAATGCAGACATGACAGGTTTAAGATTGATTACTTATCTGTCCTTGAACAGATTATTTTTTGACAATGGTATTTAGCTCGCATTCTGAGTTTCAGTTGCTCAGTACCCATCAATAGCTCCCCATAATCCTTGATAGAATATTAACTGAAAGATTTCTCCAGGCATTCAAATAGACATGCAGGTATGCTGTTCATCTGAATAAAAATCATTTACTATACAAGATGTCCTGGTTTCAGCTGGGAGAGAGCTAACAGTTCACAGTAGCTAGCATAGCTCTGATCCAAACATGGCAATGTTGATATATTGTGCTGTATGGAAGCTTGTATTGGTGCCTGCATAGGAACCAAATGATATTTTTTGATTTTTCCATTAAATCAGCACCTAGTAGTTTTTTAAGTCTGGTATGCTTAAGTTTGCTTTATGTTTAAGCTTTACTTATAGGATGTGTGACACAGATCAAAATTATGTCTATTCTGAAATAATATACTTAATAAGCAGCTACTGAAACCTGCTCAAGTCTTTGTGTGTTACTCGTATTCTTGTACAAGAAACAGAAAATAAAACCTCTATTAATTTTGACACTACAGCTCAGCCAGCTTTTGTTAACAAAAACCCTACTAAACATGTTCAGGCCAAGTATTTTTGTTAAGTCTCACTAAAACCACATCAGCTAGCTGTATTTTTAATCCATTGCCTATTGTCAGATTTACCTCAAAGCAGTACTTAAATTCCTGTACTTGCTCTATCTGAAGACAGTACCCAGAGCTTTATATTCAAACAACTTCACAGAACTACTTCCCAGAACTGTTAAGTTTCCATGGAGCTGTGACACACACAAACAGGCTGAAAGAAACTGTCACAGAAATCAGATTAAATTATGTGATTAAATTATTTAAGATGTGAATGGCTTAAGACTTTACTGCCTTCAGAAAAAGCAATTACTAGATTTACTCAGGATTTTTCATCCCCCTCCTGCACAACTTATCAGTAGATATAAGCATTATCTTTTATGTTGCTAAATAACAAAGAAAGCCTAGAAGCAGGTGCTTAATACTGGGCAAGAGGTCCACTATCATCATATGACAACCTGGAAAAAGATTTCAACAAAAGAATTCAAGAACAAACTTGAATGCAAAAGAAGCTCTTCATGCATAGATTAAGCACAGGAAAAGCAGCAAAAGCAGGAGTGGTAAAAAAAAAGTGGGGCATGGAAACCATTGCTGGCAGAAAGAGATTCAGAAATTTAGGAATTATAAAAAATGAAAATTGCACATAATTTCAAAAAAGCTAGGGATGAGAGTGTGTTACAGAGTTTCTCTTAAATTAATCACAGTTTAATAATGGGTAGCCCCAAGAGTTGACCTCTGAGACCAGTTATTTCTGAAAAGATCATGCCAAATAAAGAAAGTAGTGGGGACTACACCAGATTTCTGCATCTGCTGCCAACCTTAACATCACCACTTCCACCTGAACCAAGCACACTCCTCCATCCTTGTTCCCTGGCTCTGTTTATTCGTTCCATCTGAAGGAGAAAACAATACAGGAAAACATAATTCAAGGAATCACTAAGTAAAGATTTTAACTATTAATGTATTTTAAACATATTTTACCCTTTCTTTTTCAGATCTTCTCATTTCATCTGCCTTCAGTAAACTGATCTGCAACATATAAGGATTAAACATGTACAGTAACTGAGAAATCGAACTACTCCATATTCTTACACAACATTTAATGCACTACACCACAAGATACTTTGTTAAAATTACTATGGGTGGAAAAAGAGTCTCAAAAATCTTGTCTACCTGATCTCTCTGACGTTTTTCTTTTTCAGGCAATTCTAACCTTTTCTTTTTTGAAGGTTCCTGAAAAATAAGCATACAATTTGGTATTTACTACTTATTCTGTCAAGATAGGTTAGCGCTCCGATTCCTGGTGTTTGTCCATGAAGAGTAACAAAAAAAAAATTAAAAAATTAAAATGACCATCACACAGAGTTTGGGAAAAAAGATAAGGAGGAAAAGTTTGAAGGTTTTATTTTGTCTTTCTTGCTCTGCTCTTTTGCTTAGTTTGAAAATTAACAGATGATTTCATGATACCTCAAACATTTTCCTCCTTTCTTCTCCTGGATTCATTTTCTTCCTTGGAGTTACAAAAGCCTGGATAAAAGCTGAAGCTTCAAATTAGACAACATGATGCCAGAATGAGAGAAAAATTATAATCAGAAAAAAAAAGTACCTTAAATCCACAACTTAGTAGATGCAAATGGGGTTTAAAAATATATTTCTTAGAAAGTTTTAAATTAAAAGCACTGCTAGAATCTAGGGAAAATGCTGCTGGTACTTGTCCATCCTCTACTAAAAGCTCTGCCCTGAAAGCTGAAGGTAGTAATTTTAAAATCTATTTTGTTTTAATTTTTCTTCTCTGGCAGTATCATTCCACATTACAATCTCTTCCTATTATGAGTCTTTGAGGGTCCCTAGATATTAAGATATTTTATTTGGAGAACAGATTTTTTACATAATTCTTAGCCTTTTTTTCTTATTGATTCTTGTGACCTACAGAAGAGGAGAACTCAAACACTATGGAACACCTGGTAAAGAATATACATAATAAACCATGCTGCTTAGTCCAGCCTTCCCTAAAAAGTGATGGTTATTTTCAAAGCTTTTTTTTTCTGACCATGCAACACAGAGCTTCACAGTACTTTATTTTGATGACATAGAATCCTATCATACGAGTACTTTAAAGTCAAGTATTCCAGAAGACAGAAGCTTTTAGAGGTTTCAGTGAAAGTAGCTCAACAGGAGTGAATTAAGTAGTATCACTAAACAAAGGAGGTTATTGTTGCATGCTCCTCTAAAAAGCCACTTGAGAGCTGCAAGCTCAGACTACCCTGAAACAACAGCAAAGAGATGAATAGCTATTGTTTCTATCCTACTCCTTATCCCTTGTCACTAGGTACAATCCACACAAAAAACGTCTTAGAATAGCAGCATTACTGATGCCCTACGTGCAGTCTCTCCCCAGTCACTTGAGTCTCTGTGTAAGCTGGATTGGTGCTTGCTGATGAAACTGATTATAAAGAGCAGCAGACTAGAAGATGGTCCTGCAACCAAGCCTTAGAACATAAAAGCCACATAGTCACATAATGATACACAAGAAGCCTGTGCGTTCCCTTCTTCTTGCTCTTTTTTCCAAACTGTGTAACACAAGCCAACATGGCTTGTGTGATTAAGGAGTTTTTCCCTAAACCAACAGTAACTTTTGAACCTCAAGGGTAAGTTATACCTCAGGGATAATTTTCCATCCACTTATCAAATTTGACAGATGGATAGAGAACTTAGTATTATGTTACCTGAAGTGACAGGGGGAGAAGGAAAGAAAAAAAACCTCCAAAACCCACAAAAAACCCCACAACAAAAATACTACTCATTCAGAACAAAATTTCAGTCAGCACTCCTGCT